CTGCCCGATCGTCGAATCGAACACTATCGAGTCGAACACGACACTGCCCAATCGTCGAGTCGAACACGATACTGCCCGGTCGTCGAGTCGAACACAATAGTTGAGTCGAACACGACACTGCCTGATCGTCGAGTCGAACACGACACTGCCCGACCGTCGAGTCGAACACGACAGTGACCGATCGTCGATTGCGTTCGTCGAGTCGAACACATTAGCCGTGTTGAACACGATAGGCAATTCGAACACGATAGGCGAGTCGAACACGTCGAGTCGGACACGATCGTCGAGTCGGACACGATCGTCGAGTCCAACACGATCGTCGAACACGATCGTCGAGTCGAACACGATCGTCGAATCGAACACGATCGTCGATTCGAACACGATAGGCGAGTCGAACACGATAGTCGATTCGAACACGATCGTCGATTCGAACACGATAGGCGAGTCGAACACGATCGTCGAGTCGAACACGATTGTCGAGTCGAACACGATTGTCGATTCGAACACAATCGTCGATTCGAAGACGATCGTCACGATCGTTTAGATGGTGCCCTGTCGTCGAGTCGAACACGATCCTTCCATGTCCTCTAGTGGAACAAGATTGTGCGCGGTGCAAGGTCATCGAATCGTTCATGATTGTGTGCAGTGCAATGGACCGTGTGCGTCGTGTCCTGGAAAATCGTGCATGGGTTGCATGTGTGGAATTATGGGCGTGGATTGCGCACATAGATTCTGTGCATTGTGCTGTCGTGCGGCCTGGTTTGTTTCCATTGTTGGGGGGAGCGGGGTGAATACTTTTATGCTGCTGTTGACCGTTGCCTTTGTGCCGTGCAGGGCGTCTTCTCTTCACTGTTGCTATGGAAATCTCTAATATGACCCGAGCACTTTGGCGAGCAAGCAAAGCACACCCTTTCCCACCTTCCGCGCTGTACGTCCGACAATGTCAGGGCAGCGTAACCTATGAAGGCGCTTGTCTAGAAGACTTCGAATGCGACCCTTGGATGAGAATCCTCCCGTTTGGCGACAAACATTTGGACTCGTGGGAGGAGTGCAAGTGGGTGAACATGTCGGAGAGATGCCCGTGGGTGTGCGATTATGAGTTCGTGAATATGTCCGAATTCGGCAAACGCATTCCCGTGCCGTTCAATGTGATGCGTCCCGTGCGCTTGCCGCTACTGTGTAAAAAGCTAAAAATAAGCCGTGTTGTGAGGGTTTTGGTCTGCGAATACGTGACAACCTCACCTCGCACCTGGTGCCGTGTTATAAAACGGGAGTTACTCGATTGTGCGCGACATTCTCAGTTCCTCGATCATTATCCGTTGCGATCTCCCGGTCTGTCGCCAAGAGCAGTTTCGTATTGTTGTGTGAGATTGCGTCTGGCATACTTTGTCTTCTGTAGGGTCCTCTGTATTGTCGTTTCGAGCAGGGAAAGAAACTTGACCGATGTTGTCGTGTATGTGTCCAGGAACGAGTTGTCTATGTCCGGGAGGGATATGTGTTTAGTTCAAAGAAGGGTAGATGGGAGATTGGATATCGTGGTGGGTGGCTAGGTGGAGGACGTTGGCGCATGGCGCGAGGTCGAGGCTAAAGTCGTTTCAATTCGGGATGCTATAGGCGCTTCTCTCGTCGTGAACTCAGGGTTCGAGCGAATGACATACATTTCGGTGTTTGCTGAGACGGCGCAGCAACCGACCTTCGGATCGCCACTTAGCGTGTTGAATGGCCGCAACGGCGAGATTGTTCCCCGTAGTCGGTAGATAACCTTCGTCATACTGAATGGCCGCAACGACATAGTAAATGGCCGCAATGGTCGCAACGGCGAGATTGTTCCCCGTACTCGATAGATAGCCTCGTGGAATTCGCATTGCGATTGCTGTTCTCAATGTGTTATTTTGATATTAATACACGGTATCTGCTAGTTCTTCTCATCATGTGTTCAATGGTCAAAAGTACACACGTTTGACGTCGCTGTCCTCATATTGTTTTTCGATTCACTGAAACCCGGGAATGATGACACGTGTTTTTGGTTTGGCTTTGGACACCGACACCTCGCTGCCAACCGAGTGTTTGATTGTTGTTCTCATGTTGTGTTTCCTTTCGGAAAAAAAAAATTCGTTGTTCTGATGTTTTGCGTGCACAAACATTCAGCAGTCAATGTTTCTCCGTATTAACCAGTGTCTGCGATCTGTTGTCTTGTGTTCTCGTGATCAAGTGCCCATTTAGGCACCGTCCGCCGACCATTGTGTTGAACACGACAAATATCGCACAGCACACCACAGTGTCGTTGTCGTGTTCGACACGATGGTCGTGAGACGGTGCCGTTTGGCGACCATCGTGTCGAACACGACATGGATACTATTATCTGGCGACCAGACGGTGCATGAAGGGCCGCTTGATCGATTGTCGCACGGCAGACAACAGTGTGGCTGTCGCGTCCAACATGACGGTTGGACAGCCCGCGCAGTGCCGAGCTCGACGTCGAGCACGACGACGAGTTGGTCGGCCGTCGGGTTTGACAAGACAGTGACATGACGACACCGCAATGTCGCTCTCGTGTCGAATTCGACGGTACTGGAGGACGTCGTGGTACGGTCGTCGAGTTCGACACGACAGTGAAACGACGACGAGCTGGCGGGCTGCGGCCCGCTTCCGTTGCTCTATGTTCCTGTCTATTCTTGTTCTCAAGTGTTGTGGTGTTTGCACATTGGCAAAGCAATGACTACTTTTTCGCTTGTGCGTTTTCTTCAGTTGCGACTAGCTGCTCGACATGGATCGCGAGGGGAAGCCAAGCAAACGACGCATTAGTACTGGTTCCGGGAGCATGGAGCAGTCTCCGAAAAAACCGAAGGGGACACCGACGGCTGGCGTGGGGGCTGGCGACACATTGGGGTCTAAGGGCCACCGAACGCCGACGCTGAGGGGTGCACCTTCTACGGGCACTCCTTCCGCCCACGTTCGAGGTTTGGGACCGGATTCGGCTGTGTTGATGAGTGGTGGGGCTGCGGGTCGAGAAGAGGAGGCTACTGGTCGGTAGGGGAAATCTACGATGGACGTTGTGCCCAGGACTAGAAGGTCTGGTGACACGTCCGTTGCAGGTGCGGGAGACGAGGTGCCTGTCGTCGACCACAAAGATAAGTGCTGGATGTTGGACAGGGTGGGTGGAATCGGGGAAACGCTCGGGTGGGCTGGTTTTGTACGTGGTGATCAAAGATAGCATTGTTCCGATTGGCGGTGTGGTTAAGTGGAGTGGAGGAAATTCATCGTCGGCCATGTTGGAGTTGACGATGGTCCTTAACGCTAGAGGTGAGCGGATGGCGGGGGTCAAACACGTTGCTCTTCGTTGGGCCAAACACGCTGGGTACGGCAAGAAGCTTTATGACATTTTCAATCCGCCAAGGACGGAGAAATTGACGTTGCCGGACCTTCGAGTGGTTTTCGCATTCTTCGACAGACATGTGGTCGCAGGGCATGAGCCGGTGGTGCATGCTTCCGACCGCACATCTGAACCGAAAAGTGTGCTTTCGTCGTCTTTGGAAGCGGCTCTTTCGTCGAAACCAATCATTATAGGTGTCCGCCCTCCGCCATCACTTCGGACTACGGTTGCTGCAACACGAGTTTCGAAATCAGGGCAGATCGGGGAAAAAGGTCCGTGTCGCGGCCAAATCGTACCATCAGCCCCTGTGAAGCGTAGACCAACATCAACAAAGGAACCCGTTTCCTTGGTCCATCCGCCGCGCTATGAGTTGGCCATTCCTGCTAGGCCGCATTATTTTGGAGATGAGGACGAGGAGAACAACGAAGAAGAATGCGAGCGCGATGAAGAACGCGAAGAATATGAGGAGGGTGGGGAAGAAGAGGAAGTAGAGAGTGAGCATAGAATCAGCGAGAGGGGTGGGTCGGGCGAGTTGGAGGGTCGTCTAGGGGTTGAGTATGAGGACGAAGGGCAAGAAGAGGAAACGACCGGCGAGGGAGGGTATGCAGATGTGCATCGGGGTTCCAAACGAACGCAGCTGCTCGCGCCGGGTCATGGGCATTGGGAAGCGGTTCCAGGGCGCGGGGAAATGCACCGCGAAGTTGGGGTCGAGCCGGCGCATGCCGATGCAGTCCGACTAGCTGAGAAGAAAAGGAAGATGAAGCAAGAGAGGAGAAGTGCTTTGGATAGTAAGAAAACCAAGCAGGAGGGGGGAGCCAAGCAAGAGGAGGGCAAACGCAAGTTGAAGATGCTGGCAGTTGAGGAGGCCGTCCAACGTACGCGGGAGGCTGAGGAAGCCATGAAGAAAAAACGACAGCCAAGGAAAAAAACATCGAAGGGAGGTGTGATGGAAAAAACTTTCGTTTTTCCACCGGACCAGCCACAGTCGGATGAAGACGCTGTGGGCAAGACAATCACCAGACTGCCCGGTTTGCAGATTCTGCCGCCTGGGAATTCTTCTGGTCATCTGAGCAAAGGCTTCTTCTTAGAGTTCGACGAGAATGGTAAATAGAGGCCGGAAATGCAGTTCATTTCTGTCAAGTTGGACAGGATTCTGGATATCCCTGATGAGGAATTCAGATATAATCAACGCTTCCTCAATTAGGAGCTTATTGATGACCTTTACAAAACAATGGTTGAGTCGGGTGAGGCAGCTATCAGAGAGAGAACGACCGGGGCAGCAGGGGTGAATATATGTGCATTGTATGAGAAGCCTGTCCTTTTGTTGATTGGGCTACATGATACAATGCATACTGACGCTTCTGGTACGAATGTGAGGGCGAGAAGAGTGACGCCCGGCGAATTCGATCTCCAATCCGTGCGCAAGTACTACTGGTACCCTCTCAGTGGTAAACACAATGTTGCGGAGGCGAGGAAATGTTCTCAAGAACGCCCTGACATCGCCCGTGAGCTCCGTTTGGATTGCTGGACTGCAAAGCCTGTTTACTATCCGGATAGGAGCGTGGAGAATTACTGCACCTTGAGCACTTTCCAAAATGCGAAGGACAAATGGAATACTCCTCCGCACCAGATTGCTATCATTAAGAATAAACGAAAGTTGTGGCAAGCAGCCGGTACTCCTCCGCACCAGATTGCTATCATTAAGAACATACGAAAGTTGTGGCAAGCAGCCGGTCGTCTAGAAGCTACAGGTGGATCTGCTGCAGACGTCAAAAATAAGGATTACAGAGAGTTTGCGGCGATGGCTCTGCGCGCGACCGGGAGTGATCATTTAATTACTCTTTCACTTCAAGCTTGGAGCAAGAAGTGGTCCGACTTCCTCGGGCTTTACATGGTATTGGCAAGGGCAACGGACGATGTGTTCGACAAGGTGCAACAAGTGTATTCTGCTTGGGAGAGTGGACAGTTGCCGGAGAGAGATGGTGTGAAGCCTGCCACCAAACAAGGTGAATCGGGGAAAGCGCCGAGACCTGGCTCTGGATTTGAGTTGGAAAAAGGAGTCAGGGTTCCAGTGCATTGGATTCAGGGTACTAGAGGACCTGGTTACCTCGTGGCTGTGCGCGATGCGGATGTCAGATCATGGAAGGCTATGTCTACGTTGGGGAGGCGTGAGAAGCCTCAGCTGTTGCGAGACATTCTCGCGGGAAGTGTCATACTGGCTCCAAGGCTAAGTAAAGCTGTTCACACTGCCGAGAAACATTCGATGGAGACATACGTGGAAATGGTGAAGCAGGAAAGAGCAATGTTGAGAATGTTTCACTACTTCGTCTTCATTTCTGACCCTCACAAAAAGCCGTTAGAGTGGAAGGAACCATTCTTCGATAACCTTTCTGATTTGTTCGTTAAGTATTGTGATCAAGGATTGACATCGGAGAGGTGGATCGACCAGCGACGATATTTCAAAGAAATGAGTTGGGTGCGGTCATTTCCGGCTACACTTGGAGGTGAGGATGAGAAAGGAGAGGAGAGCTTCAAGAAAACAAAATCGCTTGCAAACAAATGCCCCGATGAGTTCATTCAATTTGTCAACAAGTTGTTGGGTAAATCTGAAACCAAGGGTTCGCATAGCATTCGTATGTCGGGACAAGCGATATATATATATCTCCAGAAACAGGACGTGACATCTGTATTCATGCCGTTCCAGTGGGAACCGAGCGATGTTTCAGACGAGATGGATTGCAAGGAGATGTTTAGAGTCGTCAGACACCTGACTTGCCACACAGCCATCCTGGATTTGTGCCGCCCGACCCAGATGGGTGCGTGGACTAAACAAGTGTTTGATAGACTCAAGAAGTTCATGGACAAACTTGGCGGCGAGTATTGGACATTGTTGTGCTTCGTTCCACGCTCTTGCGAGTTCACATTCTTGAGGCGAGTCGCGATGTGGGACATTCACTTGGATCTTCTCAAATGGACTCGTCTACAACAAATAAAGGGGAAAGTGACATATAAGGTTGCAAAATTGTCTTTGGAGGACACAGACAGAATGGTGGCCATCATGTACTCCAACGACGGGGATTTTCATCGCAACACTATTTCCTTGTTTGAAGATATTATAGCTGCAGGTCCATCATCTGCCGAGCAAGTGGCTTACATATCGGCACTTGTGCGGAGAGAAAGAAAGCCGAAGATGTTGACTGATGTTGTGGAGAAGAATTTTCTATCATCAAAGTGGAAAATGGTAGGTATGGATCCACCGGAGAAAGTGGTCTATGATGGTATGGAAAGGGAGCCGAATGCGATGGTGGAGACATTGGAGCATTTTTGTCCTGCGGATAAGGATGTCGTTTTCCTCGGGAAAGGTCATGCGGGATTGATTTGGGAGCTGTTAAAGAGTCACCGTCATTGCATTGTGCTGGAAGGGGAGGGTATGAAGTTCGAGTTCCTCACTCAGTTCATTGACAAGATGGTCAAAACTCGAGATTACTACGCCAACTTTACTAAGCCGCCTCCTCGACATGATGAAGGGCGTGATCTCGTCTACAAGGTTGACCAAAACGTGGTCAATATTTGAGAGTTTCTCTTCGAAACAAAGCCGCAAGACAGAGGGGAACGTACTTATGTCTTCAGAAAAAGAAGAGTGGAGAAACTCTTGAGGGGTTATCATAAAGCACCATCGGAGAGGGAGGTTTCATTTCTCGACCGCTTTGAGACAATGTACTTCGACCAACGAATCGGGGCGTTTACAATCGCAGGTTATGCGACTTGTTTTGTAGATGGTGAGAACTTTGGTGCCGACTACTCAGAAGAAAAGAGTGTTGATGGCACTTTGCAAGCGGCTTTGGCAGCTGAGAGGCAAAGAGCTTGTAGCCCGGCTTCGCAGAGAATGGGTGTTCCAGGTACATCGTCCGGTTCTGGAGGAGCTTCTAGCATGGCGGTTTCAACGGATCAGTTAATGACTCAACCGCCGACTTCTTCTATTGTTACACCGACTCAGATGGTGGACAATACAATGACGGTGCCATCAGGAGGCAGTCTGGATCTGAATATTCTAGCAATGCTCTCCCTAGAGTTGGTGGCAACTCTGGCACCATTTGCACACAACCCAAGTACTATTATGGAATTGTTACGCTCTCGAACTCCACAACAACCTCCACCTGATGAGCCTTTAGAGTACGAGATTGGAGACACAATCCCTGCAGACATTCGACTGCTTCCGGGGCCTATAGTGTGCCGAGACGATTATACGGTGACGGATGATGCCACATGGGGTCATCACATTATATGGCACCCCCAACACTTCCAACCTGCATTTGCGAGAGGGAGGTGGGTTATGGCTATAAAAGAAGAAGGGGAGTGGCAGTTTTGCCTCCACAGACGTATGTCAAGATCGAACTTTCTGAAACATGCGAAAAATCAGATTGCCAAGCGACTCCTGCGACTTAATCCGGAGGTTTATCAATCAAGACTAGATGTAGGAACATAAGAAATTTTTCAAGATTTCAAAACATCGCAGTGGCTTGAGTATCTGGAAGAGTTCTATAATAGACAAACCAGCCCGGCTTATGGATATTATTGACATGTCAGAGAAGATCTTGGGGAGAGGAAAAAATCAAGCGGCGGTGGTGAGCATGGCAAGGGATCCGGATCGAGCGGAGGTGCGCATGGCAAAGGATTGCAATCGGGGAGCGGTGCAAGTGACAAGGGTCCGGAACCAAATGACGGTGCAAGCGGCAAGGACGCAAATCGTGGGGAACGACAACAAACCGAAAAGTCTAAGGGGCGTCAAGCAACAGAAGCCAAGGGATCAACACCAAGCGGCGGTGGGCATGGCAAACCTACAGGACCAAGCGGCGGTGGTTCAACTGTCGAAGGGTCTCAGGGGCCTCAAGAAACAGAGCGCAAGGGATCAGGATCGAGTGGTGGTTCAACTGTCGAAGGGTCCCACGGTCGAGTCGAACACGATAGTGGCCTCGCATTGGAGCGTTCCCAACTTCATCAAGTGAAGAAACTCACGGTCGAGTCGAACCCGACAGTGGGATCAGAAACGATCGCCGGTGCAACTGGCAAGGCTTCGGGACCACGGGGGAGCAGTACAACTATCGGCGGTGCTTCACCTGTCAAAGAGTCACACGGTCGTGTCGAACACGACACCTGTCCAACATTCGAGCGCTCGCGGTTTGACCAAGCGAAGAAACTCACTGTCGAGTCGAACCCGATAGTGGGATCGGGATCAATCGCCGGTACAAGTGGCAAGGCTTCGGGACCAATCGACGTTGTTTCACCTGTCGAAGGGTCACACGGTCGAGTCGAACACTACAGGGGTCCACTATTGGAGCGCTCCCAGCTTGACCGAGTGGAGAAACTCGTGGTTGAGTCCAACCCGACACAGCAATGGGGATCGATTGCCGGTGCGAGTGCCAAAACTTCGGGACGAAAAGGCGGTGTGAGTTGCAAGGACGTGAGTATAGCTGACCAAGTTTGGGCGACTACGGTACTAGTGGGCGACAGTGTCGCTATGAAAGTGAATATTACAAGTACACTCACGGAATTGCAGATGTCGTCGTCGACGATGCCAGCCGAAGTAAGCGACACTTTCCAGGACACTTTTGAGGGCGTAAAGGAGGAAGAAACTCTCCATGTGCAGAGCATCGAAGAGGATGAAGGACATATAGTACTAAGTACACCGGAGCAAGCTGTACTTGTACAACCTCAACAAACGCTTGAACAGCCTCAAACACGACAGTCTGCTAACCTCATGATAGCTATCGAGGAATCTCCTATTGTGCCATTGCATATGGAAGGTGTGACAGAAGGTCGTGTTGAAGAAAAACTGAGAGTTAGCCATCGAGGTGAACACTTTCTTATCATAGGAGGAATATTTAATACTATATGCGGATTAGTGGGTATATCACATGCACTCATCTCCCATTGTGTCGATCCCTCATATGTATTGTTTATTTACCTAGCTTTGAAACTGTGCATTTTCTGAAGAGAAATACTGCAATTGTTTTGTATGAAGACCTAGTGCAATTGCCATATATTTTGTATTGGTATTCATGAGTCAGTTTCAACAACGGAAAGTCGGACTTGTAATTCATTATGTTTTATTTTGTCAATCATACAGGGCGACGAAAAGAACTGTGGAAAACGACACATGTACACTCGCAAAGGAAGGGAGAGAAGAATATCATTCGTCGTGGCTTGCAAGCTTTGTCAACTTTGCCGTTATTGCCAAAACATGAGAGAAGAAGTCGTACACCCATGACATTTCCATCTGTGAAGCCAACTGTCTTAAGGATGTTTAAAGTTGTTGGAATAAGCCTCATAGAAGGGAAGAAATTGCATCGCGCAGGTTGCAGTTTATCTGTTATGGATAGCAACACTGATGACGAAACAGATAGACAACCAACAACATGAGTTCATATCTATGTAGTCTATCACTTGTTTTTGTGTGAAGTCTTAGTCGCTCTATTGTTGTTTATATGTGTGTTTGTATGTAGTGCATGACCATTCGTTCTAGATTCCTTTAGCAACAATACGCCTTACTATAGAAGAAAAAGAGTATCTTGAAATGATTACCGGCAACACTGAAGAGAATGAAGAATACGGCATTGTCTATTACAAGGGGAGGTGGAAGGTGGAAAAGAAAGACGTCATGCTCGCCGCCAAAGATGGGGAATGGTTAAATGATGAAGTCGTCAATTTGTACCTGCTGGCCGTTCAGATCACCAATGACTACATCAAGAAGGTGGATTCGACATGTGCAGAAGTTGCAAAAGATGAAAGTTCTTGTAGCATTCCATCTGTGCATATTCTAATTTTTTTTTCTTTCCCAGATTGTCAAAAGCTCAGTCCGCTGAAATCGCATACTCCGAAGGGAAGAGATGGGTGGAGGACATAAATCTTTTCAATTTTGATTTGATAATTATCGCTCTCCATTTCGGAAATCATTGGGTCTTAACTTATGTCAGTATAGATCGCTCTGAGTGTAAATTCCGCCTCGTAGACTCTCTCCATGGTGTTGACTACGGTCCATCCCTCGAACTTTTGGCAGGTTTTTTCAGAGCGGAGTTTCGACGACAAAATCTTCGGGAAAAATATCATGTGGAGGAGCCTACATCCTACTTTGATACATCAGTAGATGGGATTCCTGCTCAAGAGGATTCTTCTAGTCGTGATGTTTTTATGTTAGGTTTTGCATCTTTGCTTGCAAAAGGTCACTTCCCTCCGTTCGGTTTCTCACAAGATAGTATTCCTGATATGAGACTTAGAATAGCATTTGACATTTTGTCTATGGTTAGATAGGAAAGTCAATGAGAATTTCAGGTTCTACGTTTGGAAAAATGAGATTGACATGTTTATTGAGTGTGAACATTCCGGGTGAAAATGTGTATTGTAGGCAATTTTGAAAATATGTTGTATAATGACATTTCCTAGACTTCTCATCAGTTGTTGATGAGGTTGGCGTGTTTTACTGAGTGACATGTTTACAGAGTGGATTGCCAATCCTTGAGTGACATGTTTGCAGCTTGTGTACGTGTGAACATTCGAG